TATATATATATATATGTATATATATTATATCCGCACAAATTTGGTGAATCTGGAGCGCGAATTCAAGTGCATGATTTGTTCGTCAGTAGTTGAATAAATGTTAGACAAATAAACGGTCCTTTGGTTAGGTATGGGAAATTCGAATGGTGCACAAACAGAGTCAAATAAACCAACCTGTTTGCGAGCTCACCTTGTGTTCGTAGCATCCAAACGAACGTGTTACTTTCTTGGAAAAAACTTCCAAGGACACTTCGTGAATTCGGCAACTACCACTAAGGTGTCCAGTAGCAGTCGCACATCACCAACACTACACTGCAACACAGTGCCTAAAATTTAGTGACCGACGAGCGGTTTGAACGGGCGTAGTGACACTCAAATTTGAATTTTTTGTCCCCTGGAATCGCGCTGATCATTGGGTTTGAAAGCCCGTCACCAAGGCGCACGTACCAAGAGAATTTTATCATATTTTAGACTTCAGCTGCTGACGGTCGTGAGCACGTTCGTCGATCCACTGATGCCTGAGGTAAATCGGAGTTTCTAAACCCTTTGGCAGGAGCTAGGTTTCTCAGAATAGAGGGAATGCACGTGCAAATGGCCCTAGGCCAAGAGCATTATCACACCCGATCCAGCGATGATCCATCGATGACTCACCATAGCAGACCATGTTGGCAGACAAGTGAATCGACCGATCGATAAGTTCGTATTTTCAGGTTGAATGGAGAGGAAAGCTGACTAGGCAAGGTTCAAGACGTGACAAGTAGGTTGCAGCCAGGCTTTGAGAGATCAAATGATCATCTTTTGTGGCTTCCGTAGTCCGTCCCTAGGGCCTAGTTAGAAGCTGCACAATATGGCGATCAAGCTTCCTCACGCAACACCTAAACTGTTCAAAGACGGAGATGACACTTGAAGAGCATGTGTAGAACTGGGTTTCGCGAGCCCTGGAAACACTCAAATTCAGGTGAAAAGTCACATGCCTGAGAACTGTAGACGAGCTTCGCTGCCACTACCCAGCAAATTTTGACGGCACACTGCATTGACACATTGATATCGCTCAAACTACATAACAGGAATGTTATATATTTCAGGAACTTTTATTCCCAACTGTTGTTAATCTAAGTACGGAAACTCAGGGTCATGTTTGCAGGTTCAAGAGCCCACCAAAATCTGTAGTCGTGTTGCGACCAACGGCGGACGGTTTTGATTACCATACACCGCATGCGTAACTTTGAAGGAAAGCATGCAAAAATATGTATCGTTCAACTAGATATAGCGTCACGAGAAATCCATCAGTAAACACGGTCTTCACCATACATCGGCTGTAGATTTCCTGCTGAGGATAGTTGGTGACAGTTAGACTTAGCCACCGGACGAATGCGAAAACCTCATGTCGGATCCGTCACATTTCTTTCTAGTAAACAGC